GTATATATAATTATATTCAATATATATATATTATATTGTGTGTGGTGGTGGTACTGTGTGGGTGTGTTGATGTGGTTGTGTGGTGGTGTGTGTGTGTGTGTGGAGAGGTGTTGGTGTGTGTGTGTGTGTGTGCTGTGTTGTGGTGTGTGTGTGTTGTGTGTTGTGTGTGTGTGTGTGTGTGTGTATTTATTAATATATATACATTCATAGTTTAGATATAAGCTTTAATAATTTACCATATCATATTAGTCATATGATATGTTATAATAAACTGATATAATAGATTTATGTGTAATATTCAGTATATAAATAAGTGTAATTTATATATATATATATATAATTCAATATCATAATGTTATGTATTATATACTATATATATATAGTTTAATATTATTGTATAATAATGTATGACTATTATAATTATATATAAATAAAATACCATATATACATATAATATATATAATATTTATATTATAGGTATAATATTATAGTATAATATATTAATACATTATACTAATACATAGTAATATATATAATCTTTAATCCTATCAATAAATTCATATATAATATATACACGTAATAAATACTATATACATTAATACTAATTTAATGATATATATATATATATATTATATTTATATTTTATTATGTTATAAATAGTGCGATATATCCATATTATAGCTATTGATAAGTTATTATATATGACTATCTACTTCTTATAACTTGCGAGTTCATGTTTATAATTCTAGAATATTTACTATGATAATACTAATATAATGCATATTACTATGTTGTGTGTGTCGTGTGTGTGTGTGTGTGTGTGTGTGTGTGTGTGTGTGTGTGGTGTGTTGTCATAGATTATCACGACATAGTATCAGTATCATTATCAAGTGTGTGTGTGTTTGTGTCGTGGTGTGTGGTATGTGTGTTTGTGGCTGTGTGTGTGTGGTGTGTGTGTTGTGTGTGATGTGTGGGTGTGTGTATATATATAATATATACTAATAATATATATTAGTATTTATTAATATATTAATATATATAATAATCTAATATACATTAAGTTACCATAACTAAATATATTTAATTAAAATATAGTGATTAATATATAATATCATTTATAATATACTATGAACAATATATGATAATTATCTTTAATATTATAATGTATATTATGATATAATATAAATTATTATATATATATATATATATGATTTATATTATTATATATATATTGTTATATGATAATAGTATATATAGTTGACCCATATATAGTGATATATATATATATATATTATCATACTTATAGCAATAATATATATTATAAACTTTATAATATATAAGTTCGTATATTATATAGTGATATATAGTATATAGGAGATATATGTGAGATTATATATATATTATCATATATAAGGTATATTATTATTATAATATTATATTACTAATCTATACCCTTACAACCCCTCCCACCCCCCGTTTTATATATATACTAATGGTTATTATTATGATATAGTATGCATATAAAAATAATTATATTCCTAATTATATATAACTATATATATATAATAAAAGTATTGTAATATTATTATAATAAAATATAATGGAATTAATAGTATGATATTTTATATTACTATACTAGGTATATAATATTATTATATAACATTCTAATGTTATATGCCATATATATTTTATTCCATATACTATATTTATTAGGTTACGTTTATATAAGGTATAAGATGTATATACTATATAAATTACTATAATAATATGCATATATCATTAATAATAATACTTATATAATATAAATTAGTACATAAACGTATATAAGAATGTAACTACTAATGAAATAATATATATTAATTATATATATAAAATATTACTATATATGATGATATTTACAATTAATAATAAATACTATTAATTTATATTATAATATATATTGACTCTAATACTTCTTATATATCTGAATATATCATACCTCCCTAATATATGTTATAAATATATAATAATATATACACGTAATGATATATAACTTATAATATATATATAACTTACCTAATATAATATATACTATATATGTGTGGTGTGTGGTGTGTGTGGTGTGTGTGTGTGTGTGTGTGTGTGTAATGTATTTGTATGTTAGTAGTACTATAGGTATGTAGTATGTATGTATGTATGTTGTGTGTGTGTAGGTGTGTG